TGCTGAGGGTACATTCAATTCCCTCATCAAGATCATTTAAGTCAGTGTGTTATTCAACACTCCCTCAAACCCTGTGTATTTAGCACGTTCTCCTGCTACAGTGAAAGAAAGGAGAAAGAAAAGTCAACTTATGGACACCACTGGGGTTTTTAAAATTAAAACCTGTATTTCAAACACAGGCAAAAAGCCACATCTCCTCCCTCAAAAAACCCACAAAGAACAACCCACAAAAACCCAGCAGACCTGAACTGTGACACCAACCTGTCAGGGAATCGGCTGCACTGACTATCTGATTATTTTAACACCAGAAGATCTTTTGCAGATTTACTTAAAATCACACTATTCCAAATCACCTTTTAAAAAAAATCAATAGATTGGAATTGTTACAAAATAACATGGTTTATGTCACACATGAGCAAAGTCCATCAATGTAAAATGAGTATGAGACGCCCCCCTCCCTCCGAAGTCTGGGCAGTGATTTGCAAGAAACGTTCTCAGGGTCGAGGTGTACCTTGTCACTCAGGAACACGGTGTCCTGAAAGGTGCTGGTCGTCACTTCAGCGATCACACGCTGCTCCCGAGCGCGGACCGCAGGGCCATCAACAAGGTGCCTCTTCAAGGGACTGTAGAGAACACTAAAATTTTTGATGAAGTTCTCTGAAATGAAATCGAGACGTGAAGTTATTTCAGTTTCACAAACAGGTGATTTTGGCAGGTTTTACTTTGGAATTCAGACAAACTTATGGAGAAAATACAAATTCAGACCTGGTTTCGTGTCATTAATTTTTGAGTTTGGTATCAACTCTTGAGAAGCCACCACTGACGTGAAGACGATGTGAAATTTCACTGGGATTTTGGTGTGCTCTTTCCTGTCTTCTTTTCACTTGCCACACTACTCTCTAATCTTGCTCCTAATCCTATTCAAAGTACTCCGGTAGTGATTCTCTTCCCTCCTGATCTCACGCCTGGTAAAGCCATAAATAATATCCTCTCACTGTTTTTCACTTTCTACACAGCAGTGTCAACTATTTGGCCCTTATCTTGAAGGCTCCACTTAATTCCACATTTTTATTCACATTTTCCCATTTTTAATTACTTTCCCTGTCATTCTCCTTTTGCTCTAGACCTTTAAAGACTGTGCTACTCCCATGCCAATATGACCAAAGATATTTAACAAGGAGCTGGCGAGTATGAATTGAAAACAAGCTTCAAAGCCCTCAACCCTTCAGCCACTCTGAGCCTGGACTCTGCTCTCTAAATTGCTGCAAGACAGAGGCTGTGTCCTTCCTTTCTATTTACATAGAGAAATACGACTCCATGCGTTATGAAACAAGAGTATTCAACAATCAAGACAAAAGACAGAATATCAAACACACTGAAAAGAATCACTTGATCAAATAGGAACATCTTGTGCTAGTATTTCCAGTCCAAAAACTAGGGCCAAGTAAAACTGGCACTTTTGTACACACACAGAAAATCCCAGATCATCAAGCTTCTCTCTGAAACGCAATCAGTGGTACATTTAATTTTGTATTTAGGATTCACCATTTCATTGAATTCTCACACCACACCAAACCAGGTTTCTTTCTTTCCAGATCTCCAGATTTAGAACAGCTATGCGTGATGAAGTAATAACTGAAAGAAGGGGGCTACTTAAAAGACACAGTCCTGAATTATTAGAAACCATCTGTAAAAACTGGAATTTGGTAAAGGTACTAAACACAAATCTGGTTTATTATTGAAAAAAAAATAACAAAAGTTAAGAGACTTAAGGAAGTCAAATGAAGTTTTTAAAAACCTCACAAAAGCCAAACATAAATCACGGTGACTCCTTGACAAAATACGTAGAAGCAAAAAGCTTCCGGAAATTCAAATGACTTGGAATAGAAATGCACCGAGTGTTACTCAGCAGAGAAACTCTCATTTGGCTCAGGAAATCCTGGGACCTGAAAAAAACCTGAGACAGAAAGTACTGGGAGCAAAAAGGGGAAAGAAACTTGTATCTCCTCACTCTGGTCATCATTTTTCCTAAGCGTCCTTGTGTGGTCACCGGGGTTTTTGTTTGATTTTCCAGAGTGTTTTTCTGGGGGGTTGGGATAAAGACAAGATAGAGGACTGGGTGGGATCCTTCAGAACGTGGCTATTTGTTCTGCACAGTGCAGACCTTTGTACTTACAGAGCTATGGCAAAATGGCAATGTAATGAATGCTGTAAGAGTTACATTGATACACCGTGAGCTATTTAATACATCTTCACCTGGATTTACTTCCATGTTTACTTACACTGCTGACATTACAACCCCTGCATTTTCTGAAGGTGGACTCAGTTTTGCACATCACCATGACAAGTAAATGCATGTGGTTAGGCATGTTATGTCTTATTAAATAACTTACACATAAATAACTGCAATCACTGGGTTGCTTGTGGGGGTTTTGGTTTTTTATGTGTGTTTTCCTCCTCCTCCAATTCAACCAGGAAATAAAGAGTATTGACAGACTTGGCCAAAACCACTCCAGAGCTTTACCTTGCAAACACACATACCATTCAAAATAACATTAAAAGCAACTTCTAAGTTGGTTTCAAAGGACAAGAGGAAGGGCTGGACTCTGCCTGTAAGTGGGCAGCATCTCTCAGAATTCTGGGATATTTTAGTACACACAGCAGCTGAGCAAACACAAATGCCACCATTAACATCCAGATGTCTCCTGGAATATCAAATCACTTAGATGCATAGTAATTTTTTTTTCCCACAAGCAAATTAGTTTAGATTTTGCCAATTCTTTCAATGCATCAGGCAGTCAAGGATCACACACTTTGAGGGTCATCTTTTAAAGTAAATTGCTTTTGGTGTATGAAGCTTAGTTCTTATGTCATCTAGAATGCCATTCTGCTGCTTGGTTAACTAACAAATAAATTAGAATAGAATAAATTAAGATTCACAATGTTGACTACAGTCTCACTTTAAAAACAGTCATTTTCAAAACGGCATTGACTTTTCCTTCATAAGCTTACTTGCAAACTTTATTTTCTTATTTCAAGCATTTGTATAGTGGATACCATACCCAGGGCAGGTCCAACAAGGGACTGGTTTTGATCCAGGACATAGTGCACTTCTTCTTTCAGGTCAACGATGGCGGCAAATTCCTTAAGATGAGCAGATCTCAGTGCTCCGAGCCTCTCTGCGTATATCCAAAAAAGATTTGAATCCAGTAGATAGAGATTCAAGGTTTTGTTGGTCCTGCAGCTCAGACCAGTAATGTTAGTGCCACTAATAGGAAGGTCGGGAATAAAACAATTCCTATCCTCAATGTGAGGAACAGAACGTTGGGTGTTCTCTTTCTTCCCATGGGAAGAAAATGCTCCTTTGGGGGTCTGAAAGATGGTCTCCTCAGAACTCATGAAACTTAAAAAATGCCTGTTTACCGTCCTGCAACATGCAGTGTAATAGCTAAAGGGACTATAGAAACTTAAGAAATTGCTGCATTCTATGGTATTTGATATAACTTGAAAAAAGGTGTGTTCCTGGAGGTAGAAAGAGTCCAAAGCTGCTTCTATCTCTAAAAAGTTACAGTGTGGCACATGGACTTTATTTGGTTTGACACCAAGTGTCTGGTTAATGCAAAGCTCACAAACGTTGTGAGTTCTGGATATTGAATGCCACTGTGGAAGCACCACCGTGTTACAGCATGGGTACTTGGTTATTGAAAACGTTTCTGAGAATTTCAGATGCGCATCTGGTACAGAGGAATCAAAAGCTGGTGAATCAGTGTCTCCTAAGTGCTGAGGATCCGGCTCAGCTGCCTGGCTTTTGTTACAGCTGTGGTATTCCAAGGCCACTTTGGTAATCTACAGGGGGAAAAAAAGAAAAAGAAAAAGCAACACTACATAATTCACCCAAACGCAGTTACCTGTTGCACATTTAACAACGTACACGCAATCAGAGATGGAGTCTCTAGAAACATGAAGTTGACTGCTCTTCTTCAGTCTTACAAAAAAACTACAGGAAGCTCTGACTTAATAACAAAGTGAAATTTTCAGCTATTTCAGCATGTAAGAATTAAATGTACAGAACAACAAAAAGCCCCTTTACATTCTTTTCAGTCCACAACACTATCTCATGGTTCTCTTTGTGACATTACCACAGTGTAACACTACATTTTACGGTTAAATCCCACATGAAGCGTTAATCAGTTCCTGAATTTCCCTTCTTTTCCGACATGAGAAGAAAATAACTAAAAAAGCATTCTCATACGAAAAGGGAACAGAGATTTTTCCTGGTATAGGTGATACACACGCCTTGTAACGACCGTAACAGTGCAATGCCAGTATGGTCCCAGCCACGGGCATACAGCTGTAATCCTGCAGGTGTGCTTTGCATTTAGTAGTAACACGTGAGTTATTGGGAGAAGAAAGGAAAAGCAGAAAAAGCCTCTCAGTGCAAAGATTGTGATTTTGTTGTTCATAACCAAGGAGAAACAAGCAGTAAAAAAGGCATTGTGTATGAACCATAGAAAGAATGATGTTTCTAGAAGGCAGATAACAGAATGCAGAAGCAAGGAAAAGGGAAGAGGAAGTTTTCCTTCACCCTCATCCATCACATTAAACATAATCAACACACAGAACATACACACACCGCTTACACAGGAACACTTTGAGAGGAATCACTGTAATTATCAAAGGAACGTTGAAGCAACACATTGAGGAGGGGTGCTGTGCCACTGGACCAGGAGTATCGAGATGTGGTCAACAGCAACACTTTGTTACAGTCTTGAAGAATTCATTGTTAGATGTTTCCATCCTGAAAATGCTCAGTTAAATACTTCAAAGAAATCTGATGGCTGATGTTATAATCTAGCCTGAAGATTCTGACTGCCTATGTAGAGGAACATGAGAAGTTATTCTGGTTTCATTGCTTGGTGAAACCCACAGGACAGCTTCAGTAAACATCGCTACCTACGTTGCAGAGTACGTATCACAGCAAAGCTATACAAGATCAACAGCAGTATCTTGTATCTCATTTCACATTCTGATACAGAGAAATACTCTTATTTAGTAGAATGAAATCTGAAACTGAACATCTTATGTCGCACTCATCTGAGCTAAGTGGTACCTGTTACTGGAATGTTTCATCTGTGATAAGCATCACTGAATTACGTCTGCCAAAACTAAGACAGGTTAGTACAAGGACTATTGCAGTTCCTTCCCAGTCTTCCCACAAAGGTTTCCTTAACCCTGTCTTGCAGACTTGCTTGTATTGCATCTACCTCCAGTCTGTCCTTAGTGCTATGCAAAGCACAGCTGTGTGATACAATAAGTAGGACAAGGGGTTCCAGCCGAAAAATAGCCCAGGGAAAAAAATTCTATTTCACCCAGGTTAGCTTCCCTGTCTCATTTACTGCACAGCTGCACAACCTCCTGTCCTAGGCAATTCAGAAACAGAATTAATGGCATAGGAAGAGAAAACTGGAAGGTGACTAAGGAATGCACAGGATAAAAAAATCAGGTTAGTTCCGAGTAGTTTTTCAATTAGGCTGCATTTCAAAAAACACCGGTTTAATAAAAGGTCCATCCTTCCTTCTGGAACCACCTCTGGAAAGGAGGAGAAATCGAATGGGGTGGACAAAACAAAAGTCCTGCAATACTCAAATACATCCTTGCTCTTTCTTTTGAGCTATATCAGCTGGAACAGAAGAACAAAGACCTCAGTTTTTCTCACAGCACTCGCCACGGAGAGAAGGCAGTCAAGGAGAAGAGTTGAGGGCTTGTTCTAAACACCACCACGACACAAGACAGGCACGTTGTGTGGGGTGCAAACCAGCACGAGGAAGTTGTGATGATACGGCTCAAGAAAATGCGGTTTTTAAACAAAACTGAATACTTGGAACTGTGAAATAAAATGAGGCACCTGTCACAATTACGTTCAGCACTCTGACTGGAGTTCTCAAGTTCCAGTATTTCTGAAGTAAAAAAAGAATTCTTTCACTTACTTCATCTAAAAGGGGATGCATTTCTGCTAAGGGATTGTAAGGTATAAATATGAGAAGTGCTGGTCCTTTCTTCAGTTCATTGTTTAGAAGAAGACTTTTTCCACCATGTGGTCTCAGCCAGCGTATCAACATCTCTCGATTTTCTAGAGCCCACTTGCAAATGTCCTCTGCAGTGTAGTTCATGATGTCATTTGGATAGACCTTGAATGGGGAAAAAATAAACCTATGTCCTCACTTAAACACACCATTTAGCAACGAATGCAGTTCCAAATGTGGCACGCTTTGTTACTGTAATGCCTCAAACTCTTTTTCTAAATTTAACTGCACTACTCAAAGAGCTTCAACATTTCATACACACTTTCCCTTTGGGAAATATTTCCAAATACTCATCAGATCCTGGTGACACGCACAATCTTTCCGGCAAAAAGTATTCTAAGAGGGAAGCTCCTCTTTCTTTTATGACATCTTTATAATCTTTACTTTTCTCACTAGTACAAATTTGCTTTGTAAGAGCTCAGTCTCTAGGCTGGTATCATCACGTATCTTGATTCACAGCACATTAGAAAACCTTTTCCCAATAGTCCTTTGCCACATTAACTCATTTTAAATTAGTCTTTGAAGATCCAACATCAAGACTGCGTTTAAAACTGCTATTTCTTATTTCTTATTACTGAATGTGGGAAAAGAAATGCAAAATAAAAAGTGCTCCCAGCTTCTAGAGTAATTTTAATAAGTTAAGGCAAGTTTATCTTAAATCATTTGCACAGAAAAAAGCAGTTTTAGGAATTTATCCAGTACCTTAACCTGAATCAGGTTTTCCCTAGTCTCAATTGAGTACAATACAGGTTACAATACTTATTTTCACAGAGATTCCTCTCATGGTAGCAGTTTGGATAGATAAAGCCTCTGTGCCAAACAGCAAATCTGAAAGTTAGTATTTTCAGTCTTAGTCTTCGAAAAATCAGAATTAAGAGTTACTATATTGGGTTAAGAGTTACTGTACATTTTGTGTTTTTAATGTGCATTATTTTTCTGGATAGTGCAGTGTCATACCTTTAAACCAAAAGGCAAGTTTTCACTATTTCCATATCCTCATTCAGGTATCCTGAAAGAGGTAGAAACTTTAGGAAAAAGCCTTTGTGTAGTCAATTCTGAGGTGCTTGGGTTTTTTGGGTTTTGTTTTGACAAAGACGATCAACTTGGGTCATAGCTACTGCTCAGAACATCTGCTGACTGTGTTACTGACGGTCCTAAAGCCCCATGAAACACGTACTCATGGGCTACCAGAGGTTCAGTCCCCACGTGTCACCTCACGTCGCTACAACACGAACACAGTACTCACAAGAGATGTGTTGACGCGTCTGTGCAAATACACACTGCCTGAATGCACCAAGGAGACCTCCTCTGCAACACGTTTATCCGTGATCACTCCAAAGCGTATTGTTCCAAGGTAATCTGAAAGAGAAAACCTGCAGTTTTCAAATGCAATTATACAATTTTCAAATACAATTCAACTTCTGTGCTGAAAGCCTTCGAAAAAATACCTTCACATCAAACCACAGAACAGTGCCGTGCAAAGGCACAGAAATCTTACTGAATAGCAACTGCCAGCGTGGGCAATCACGTGTGGTAGGAGAAAGACGACAAGAGCAGGCAACAAGAACAAATGTGTTCCTCATCTGCACTCCAAGTATAGAGAATGCTAACCTGCGCTGTCCGATTTCTTGATTTGCTTATTAAATACAGAAGCTGGTGTTGCAGGTGCACCTTGCTACGTGTTATGGCATCTCAAAAGCCAAGACCAGATACACATATGAGAAAAAGGTATGAACACAGATTGTTCAGGTTATCTACTTTTACAGTAAATATACATTCTTTAAATACATATTTCAGCATTTCTCTATTTAGAAATATGTATACACGAGAACAAAATGCTTCTCATCTTTATGTTGCAAAGAACTATCCCAACATATAAATGGGGAAATCAGAGAATAAAATACAGGCAAACAGGCTCTGTATCATGTAGCAAATCAGTGGCACAGTTAAAATCAGAATAACTGTATCTGTTTCCTTCATTTGCTGACAGGAAGAAATATCCATAAAATGTACTAATCTTAACTCTAAGAAAGTTCTATCCAGAATTTATGACCAACCCCAGTCCCAAAGGTATTAATCGTATACAAAGTTTGCATATTTAAACACAGGAGGTTTTGTATTTTATATCATCAATGCAGAACAGCAGGGGGTAAAAGCCCTTGTCACCACGCTACCTTGTACCATCTCTGCCACTGCCCCCAGGAAAGCACTTTGTTGAATTCAGTTACTAAGTATTGATGAAGCCAAGTTCATCCTAGCGCCGCTGAACCTGACATTTCAAATGCTGCACAGGACAAACACTCTTAGACTCAACCTAAGTAAATGCCAGTCTGACTGCGGCTCTAGATGGGCTGCAGCTTCACTTTCAGGTTTTTGAGGAAAGTGTATCTCAATGGATCCTTGCTCAGCAGCCTCTCACAGCCTATTCCATGACAGCCGATACCAGAATACATAGTAAACCTTCCACGTAAGCAATCCCTGCACTGTAATAACAGTTTTATAATTAGATCAACATCAAGAAGCACTCAAAAGGCATTAATTCCCAAGTTACAAAGCACTGCAGAAAACCTACTGAAGCCCATATACATAACTCATTCACAGATGCCCTAAGAAAATAAAGCTTTTACCTTTCTTTAATGAATGTAATGCTGATGTGAAGAACGTTAAATAACCAGGTGGCTGAGGTGAAGCATTGAACTCAAAATATCCTAAAACTCCTGGCTGAAATAACAAGAATTACACTTGGTTAAGCTATTTTCAAGTAGAAATACACAGGATACAGCAATTATTTGCCTACAGTAAAACACAGCAGATTTTAAAAAGACAATAATGTTTACTGAAGAACAGTCACTTTATGCTGCAAGAAAAATGTTAATATTAAAACACTGAATGAAAACCAGTTCTAAAGTTGTCATTCAAAAGCCACGTATAAGAGGGAGGTTTTATGGCTGTAGACGTGCAAGTTTCAAACTGCGTATTTCCCATGTTAGCTATTAAAGGTCACAAAAACCAATTAATATTTGCTTTGCAAATACTTTGAGCCAGTTCCAGCACCAACATAAGAACCACAAGCGTCACGAAGACTTCTTTGAGAACTGGAACATAAAATATCAGCATCATTCAAAGGTTTTACCACTGCAAACAAGTCGTGTTTTTTTCAGGGATTTCAGGCCTTTCTGCTGAGTTTGTGAATGAGGTACTAGTGAGGTTGTAGATAAGAAAAATCCAATCTTTGATTACAGTCATGTTAATTTTAAGGTCAGGCTTGATGGGGCTCTGAGCAACCTGATCTGGTAAGGTTGTCCCTGCTACTGCAGGGAGGTTGGACTGGATGAGCTTTAAAGGTCCCTTCCAACCCAACCCAACACATTCTCTGATTCTGTACGATTTCTCAGAGTACAAACTTAAACAGTAACACTGCCATTGTTCACTGTGTTGCACACAATTAGCAACTACACACAAAGTCACACATTTTGTGTGTGAATACTTGAACTGCTAAGCCATTTGATTATCCCATCATTAAGCTATCAGTCAGTGTAAGTTCTTTCAGGATATCCTGCCGGAGTCAGTGAAAGACCAGCTGCAGAAAAATAATGGAGGAGGCCCACATCCCACCTGCATATCCATAGATTTCTTCAGATTGCCAAAGAGACAATTCAGAGTTTAAGATTCATCCCTAAGTTGGCCTACTGACTTTGCCAGATACCAAATTCTGGAAGAGAATCTGGGAGGAGCTGACTTGGAACACAGAGGTGCATCGTCTTTAGACTTCCCTTGTTCCAAAAATTTCCATTAAGTTTTGCTAAATATAATCTATTAAAGTTATTATTATTTTTAACACGTCATTTCAATGGCTTAATACACCTTCAAGACAGAGCGCGCGATGGAATTTCACTATTTCGTTGGTATTTGTGTCCCAGTTCCACCACTGCGTACACAAAGCAAGAGCGCCCGAGGGACGGATGTGGAACAACAGATTCCAGACTCACGGATCACCCTTTTGTGTGGCAAGTATGTTACCACCTAAGTATTTTCATTTGGTAATTCAGAAGCTGCTTTGTTGTTGTTGTTGTTGTTGTTGTTGTTGAGTTTTTACATACAGAATTTTCAGTTTCTTTCTAAAACGTGAACGTGAGCTGTCATTAGTGAAAGGAATGCAGTTATTCTCAGCAGCCACATGAATTGAGCCAACTCAGTATCAATCAGCATCTCAGGATGTTCACCAATAACAGCATTGCCTGTTCCAACTAATGACTTGCTCTTTTTAGGCAGGAGTTATCTTTCAGGAATGAATGCCAAACACAAGACCCTTGTTCATAAAGATTTCATGAGGTACCCCGAGAAATTATCAATAATAAAAATGAGATACAAGCAATTAGTGAAATTTCTCCCATAACAGCTGTCAAGAAGGAAAAAAATTTAAAAATCAATAAACCAGAAGTGAAATAGTATAGCAAAAGAATGGCACTCATTCCACTTCAACCAATAAACAGGTTAGTAGGGGTTTTTTCAGTTAGTACTTTTTCTCCTAGTATCAAATTATGACCAAAAAAGAAAAAATCCCTTATAAAAAACTTTCAAAGCATTCAAGTGAACTAAAAGGAGACAGGAAAGATGATCGAAACCTCGGTTTCCCATTTCCTAGGCCCATTTTTGAAGACCATTACTGTCTGAAGCAAACCTACGGCACCAAGCAGTGAATGGAAGAGTCAAAAGTGACAGTAAAACATGACAAGAAGCCACAAGTCAGATCTAGAAATATTTACAGAGTTATTAAAAAGGGCAATGTTCTGATACTGACTGCCAGTTCTGCTGTACAGTAACTGCAGCTTAAGACTTCCAGACTGTAAAGAACTAAGATGTTTCCATGAGACATTTCTAGAAAGTGGCTTTTTTTTTTTTAAGAAGTAGTAATGGGAACAGAGAACAGCCAAAAATCCCCACAGCTGCTGATGAGCTTTTACAATTAGATAAATGCTTTTATTACTCAATTAAGTTCTTTCTATCCCAATTTGTATTTATTTCTTTTTATGGCTTGGCCATATTGCATTAAGGTAAGGGAGGGTTTTTTTCCCCCCAGAATCTCAGACTTGTGCAGGCAGGCAATTCCTGACTCATTTTATCTGTGAACACAGGAAAGAAAACTGCAAGAGGACAGGAACGCGTTGTCTCTGGGGAACAGGAGAACCAGTATCGCACACCACTAATTCTGTACTGTAGAAATGCCAACAAAGAAACTGCTGACTGATATCAGATTAACTAAATCTACAACTAAAAGTCTGTTCATTTTCTAATGACGTTAATCATTAACAGTTAATCGTTATCCAGAACCAAAGGCCAATTCTCACATCATCGTGTAACACAGGCACCAGAGTTCCCTACGCAAGAGCGAGCTATTAAACCAAATCCCCCTCTGGGTCAGAACCTGCACAGAGAGAGCAAAGAAGAGTGCAGCCACACGCCAGCTAACTCCCAGAGAGACCAACTCCTCCCCACCTCTCCCGCAGCCAGAAAATGATGAGCTCCCTGGGCACGTTTAATCCTCACAAGTGAACAAAGCGTTCTGTCCAGCTACAGGAGCTGCACGTGCTCTTTCCCCATGCCCCAGAAGGATGAGGCCGTTCCTAGCGGCTGGGTTAGTCAGAAGAGGAATGAGACATGCCAGTTCGTATTAAAAGGAAACTGCTACATCTCTGCAGTTAAGAAAACAAAATAAGTCTGATTATAGGAACTTAGAGGTACCTGGAGTTACAATAGGAACTGTGTTATCTTTCTCCTGATGTAACTTACACCTTCCTATACTTTCCAAGTGGGACTTTCTGCCCTGCTCTCAAGAATTAAATTCTAATTCTCACCCAGTTCTAGTTTTGCACTAGTACCACTCCAGAGCCACAAAAAAACCCCACACTTAAATATTATCAGAAAACGCAGAATCCCCGCGTCAACCAGAATTGTTTCCATGGGGTTTGAGCGCCCTCTCGCGTGTGGCATTCGTGACCGGGTCAAGGAGTGGGCACACACCCTCGTGTAACTGCCACCACCTCCTCTTTCATGTAGCTGGATTCTGTTCAGCAGTGTTTCTTAGAAATAAGAACATGCCAATTAACATTTGAATACAAGATAAAATACTGCTAGATGTCTGTATGTCCTGGTGTGGTTCAACTCACAAAGAAGTGTGCTGAATGTTTATCTTGGTACCTTTACAGTGTTAGTTCAGGCATGCTCACACGTTTAATGGATTTTGATATTCAGTTGAGCATGGGCAGAGCTCCTGGTTTTCCTGGCTAGATGCTTTTTCTGCCAAAAGCTGGCTACTGGAATTTGAACACAAGATTAAAGCATCAAAAGCTTCACAGATGAGATGAAAAAGGACAACTATGGGCTTCAAGTCCTTGCTATCGGTAAATTGACAGGCAATAACAAAATGCCCTTCAAACAAGAAAAAAGAAATGATGCAGGAGCTCTTTTAAGTGTGAAAACACATGCTGAGCAGAACTTCAGCTCGACACAATGCCCTGCAAATGAACCACTCACCTTCTAATAACTTACCAACTCATTGCATACTCCAGATTCTACACAGTGCTATCCTTGGACACAGAAACAAAACAATGAGGACCAAAAGTGAGCGAGAGGCAACTGCTTGGTGACCCAAAGCAGAATCAAACAGCCAAGGAACAGAACGGGCACTGCTTAAGTGCAGCCTGGGGATCAGCTGCACAGAGGTGCTTTTCAACTGGAGACTTTTCCGTTGTGCCAGGCTGTGTTTCCCTCTCCATCCATCTTCATACACAATGCTCTGTTTCTTAGGTCCTCTCTGAGTCCCAGCTCCTGATCGCTCAGCATTTGCTTCTCTTACTGCACTCACCTGGACTTGCACAAGCCAATGCCCTGTTCCCTGAGCGGATCTTCCTGCGCGAGTTGGCTGTTATTTCTGTACTCCTTTCTTCCCTTCTTGCTTGCCTTTACAAAGGCAAGACGCTGAGTACCTAGTGCCACAGTCTGGGAAATCACCTCAGCCTTAAATCATTGCAGGGCAGCATGACAAGACAATAAGATGATAAGACAAGGGGTAACGGACACAAACTGGAACACAGGAGGTTCCACTTAAATTTGAGAAGAAACTTCTTCTCAGTGAGGGTGACAGAGCACTGGACCAGGCTGCCCAGAGAGGTTGTGGAGTCTCCTTCTCTGGAGACATTCAAACCCCGCCTGGACGCCTTCCTGTGTAACCTCATCTGGGTGTTCCTGCTCCGGCAGGGGGGTTGGACTGGATGAGCTTTTGAGGTCCCTTCCGATCCCTAACGTTCTGTGATTCTGTGACAGATCACACTCTGTTCTTACTCCATTTCAGGAAAAGAACCAACGCTGACCATAAACAGAGACCTGGCATTTGGAGCCACAGAATTTGAAGCACAGGAAGGAGTGGAAGTTTGAACACAGGAATAAAAATACCTGTTTGATTGCTAAGCAGTATTTTAAAATATTTTCTTGTCCCCGCATAAATTTCTCTTTTATCTTAGTCTTTTTCCAACAGAAGTGCACCTCCTACTGTAAAGCAAATTTGAACTTAGTAACACTGTGCTTATCAGTTTACATTTTGCAGACTACCAAGAAGTAAGTCACATAACACAGACCAAAAACCAAGCACGGCTGTTTTTGGTTCTCTGTAGAAGGCTAAAACCCCCCTGAGTTTTAGGATGGCAAAACTGAAGCTGTGAAAGGCCAGCAGAACTGCTCGTGATCAGAAAAAGTATCATCAGCAGACACGGGGGGACAGCTCCCAGGGCCTTCTTAGAACAGTGGAAAACTAAACCCAGGAGTAGCTCCTGGGGGATAAGCTGAAGCGTGACCAGCACAGCACCGACCCAGAGTGTGACACCCTGTGCTGTGACAGCTTTCATTTAGCAGCACGGGCCGTGCTCCATCCTGCAGCAGAACCAGTCATCAGACACACGCTAATTCAGAGAGGAACTCCGCTTCGCTGCGAACCACCAGAGAGTCCCTCGCACATTTTGGCCACTACTACAGCATCAGTTTGTTGATCAGATTTTCTCTTCTGCTCTAATAGCTTGGGATTTAGTATGATTATGGTATTCCTCCATTGTGCACTGCAGAAATGAACAGTTCTGAAGGGACTGTGAATGGTTCTGTTGTCCAACTGGAAGTCATTAACCCACCAGTATTGTTACCAATCTTGGCACCTCTGAACACAACAGACTGAAACTTAGTAAAATACAATGTACCAGTGGGTTAAAATAATAAGGTTACAGCATACAGACAGGCCAAGAGGAGTTATTTCAACTGATTTCACATTTGTTTTACTTAACAGACTTATCTTACCAGAAAGGTTTAATATTCCTTTTAGAATTAAAGCAATGATTATATATTTCTCAAACACTTTCCCAACTTATGCAAAAGATTCCTCCTTCCTTTCTTGTTCATATGTAACTTTTTGGTGAGGTAACAACTTTGATTGCTGTCTCTACACACCAAAGTACTGTAAATTAAGAGCATCGCTAAATCCTACGAGTCACTATACAGGGAACCAACATTACAAACTTGTCATTTCATATTTGTCTGATTTTAACAAGTTTACAGGGCACTGATTTCAGGATCCTGAAAATAAAACTAGTACCTTGGAGCAGATCAAATGTAATCGTGAAACAAGTCAAACTCTTTCTGAACCACAGTGGTAAAGCTAGAGAAGAGAGACAAGTACCTCATAATTTGAGAGGAAATCTAGTAATTTTGATCGAGACGAGATGTAGAGTAGTGGTGTCATCACCCGGCGAACAAACTTTTCAATATAAACAGCACTCATAGGGCCTTTGTATTCAATTGGTCCAAAACTAGTACCAAAAAAAATAATAAAACATTAAGACTTAAATTAACAATAGAGAGAGTCCCTCCTGGGGGTGGCAGAGATAGGAGTTACACAGACAGCACGCTCAGCCTCTGGGGAATTGCTCTCTGTGGCAATGAACGGTGGCTTCTGTAACTGGGAGAGGAGGTGTCACCAGACCTGAAGCACAGCGCAGGAACTGCAGTGACTCCAGCAGTGTCTGTGCGTAGGCACAGTGTGTTGGTGGGGACGAAGGGATGGAGACCACCTCTGAGCCCCATGAAAGAAGTTGGTAAAATGCAGACATTAATTACATGATCATATCTGTGCCTTTTGGCTTTGTCCAAAGTAAATACATGTGACTTAAAAATACAGATCTGAAAAAATGTCATTATTTTCATTTGATTATTTAAAATATTTGGAAAGTTCAAACATCATCAATCTGAAAAGGTGCAAAAATTTTCCAGAGACTTTTACAAGTAGCACTCAAAGCAGGGACAAATCCAGGCGCACTGCTGATGAACAGATTCAGCAAGTCAAGCTTCTCCCTCAGTGATCTGATTAAACAGCCCACACCACATCAAGTAGTGCTAAAACAGAAGGCAGGCCAGGCCTGGTGGTAGTGATTTCCAGAGCTTCTCCTTCATCCCCCTGAAATCCCATATCTGATTTATTATCATTAGGCTGGACAGAACATCACAGTCCAAAATGAAATCAAAGACAAAAAGCTTGAGGAATGAGTCCATTCCCACTGCAGAATTTAATGTGATGCATTTTGCAATATAGTTTATACATACAGATGCTCTGAAAAATACTGAACTTGCACTGAGATACCTACATTCAGATGCTTTGAAATGGTTTCCTAGAGCCCACTAGATTATTCTAAATCCTACACTGGTTTATTGTAAACCTCTGTCTTAACAGCAACATGCGCTGCTTTAATGTGTGCAACACTCAAGGTTTGATATCTCAGGCATGAGGGGTACGTTGCCCTTTAGGGTTTTTATGAAGTATCAATGTGAATTTACATCTCATCTTGTTGCAACTCCGTTTAAGGTTACTGATAATACCCAAGTGTATCCCTCTAATGATTTGGAAGTTGGGGGGTTTTTTATTATGTTTTGAATTATGTCAGTGCCATCTGTGCCTGTTCCAAGTTCAGCTGACAAAGATCAGGATTGTTCCTCAATACACAAATGGCCCCACAAAAGCCCCCAAAATCAGCTTCTTTAATGGAAGAGAGCTGCAGTTCATGATAAAGGTACAGAAGTAGAATGCAAGTGATAAACTACACAGCATCCAGCTCTATCGTACATAGCACTAGAAAGTGTGTTTCCTTACCTTCTGCTCCACACAGAGGAACAAAAAAACCCCAAAACAAAGTCATATATACAAATACTAAAAAAATAAAAGAGTGATTGTATAAAATTGTATGCAATATCTCAACATTTGGAGCATTAAAACGTGAGTGTAAAGTTTGTATTTAGAAGAAGTCTGCAATACGTAGTGCCATTTAAATGTGCACTTCAGTAGCCCTGAAGCACGTACTTTATTGCTGTCACAAACGGGGACCAGTTGATGTAACCCATCCACAGAACAAGCAGACAACTGGAATTAAGATATAAATCTCAATTCTTTACTTTTCATTGGAGGGAGAACTTCAAGGAGATGCACAGGCAAGAGAAAATCTCCTTAATGATGCAGAATTGTACTGACATCTACAGCACTTCTTGACACCTAAGTACCATATAGGATGAGCTTCATCCAGAATCTCCTCCTCTACGACTGTTTAATAGAGCCACACATACAACATTTTCAAATGACAACATTTTATACAATCTCTCTGTTTCCCATAACAACAACAAAAACCCTAGACCATATGTATAAAATCTTACCTCCGATGGTATAAGTGTATCACAGGAAAATAAAAGAAATGCTTCTGCTTCCTGCATTTCCCCTGGTTCCACCAGCAATTTATAGCCACAAACAGCACCTGCAAAGCAGGTAAAAATTCACAGCTAACCAAGTACATTACTGTGACCTTCTTTAGCTAACGTGTATTTTTGGCCAAGCCTTTCCATCTGCTGTTTTCAGTGTCTTTTCAACTCAGTATTCCGTTTCTGCTTCTCTTGATACTATCACACAAGATCTTTGTTATTATTATTTTTTAAATTTTTTGGCCATTTTGCAACAGAAATCCTTCTGGTCCCTTTTTGTTTTATTTTTTAAACTTCTTAATCTAAATCCCTCAAATTTACTAACGTAATAATCCATATTAATTACATTTTCTGCACAGTGGAGCTTAACGAGTGGAGGTTTAGGGCAGGGTTCGCAGGTAACCAACTGCTAGAAAGCAGCTGCTGTCTTACATGACTGCCGGTGTCTCCAGGCAACGTGGAACTGGAAGCAAAGTCCCTGTAATTCCTGTCTGAAGGCAGGTGAATAAATCTGAGAACGCTTTACAAGAAGAAACTCGTAGAGTTCTCCATTCAGGATCAGAAATAAAAGAAAACTGAGCAGGAATCACAGGATTTCTCCATTTATTCTAACACTCTGTATGTTATATCAAAATTAAGACGACGGCTGAGTTACCCTAAATTGGGAGCATTCAAGTCCTACTGGTTCCCATGGGATGACAGCAGTTAGCATCAGCTTGGAGACTAAAAGGCCAGATTTAAGATTCATATCTTCAGTGGAGTTACCTGGTCTGACAGCCTGCTGGCCACATGCTCTACTTCTTCTCTCGCTGCAATGGACTGGCCACACCACGGCGCATAGAAGAAATACAGCACGATTTCTGAATCCTGACGAAGGTGATCTGCATAGTCTAACTGTCCCCGAAAAAGATCAATGACTGGAGACCTCATGGAGAAGAAGTTCACTGGAAGCTTCGCTGGCATTGTTACGTCTTTTGCTCGGCTGCAGGAAGGAAATGGAGAGTGGTTATTGAGACTGCACAGCAGTAGTTTAAAAAGTATGCCCAAAGCCCCAGTTTTCAAACGTACGAAATGCCATGCAATGACAAAACTTCAGAAACTGATGCAAACGACAACAGCTTACGTTACCTGAGTTAGTTTCATGGAATACTGTAAAAAGCTAAAGATCACCCTTAACGAGCTTTAGGAAGTCACGCCGTGATACCATGCACTATGTTTATGGGTACGTTAACTCACACTCCTATTGCTGATTGCTATAGAGCGTAAAATTACCAGGAAGAGTGATTTCTGTGGATTTCCTCCCTGGCCTCATCCTCTTTTAACACTTGTACTTTAGGTAACAGCACCCTGATAAGAGAAGAGACACTTGTCATGACGTTTTGTGATGTGATATTTGTATAAACAGAGACTATTACCCTGCCTTACAATTTACTTTAATGTATTCTACACTTCTTTTATATTGTATTAGGAAAAAATACGTCAATGTGTGTTAGTGTGTTTTACTGATTAGAGCAAGGACTGCAAGACTGCTCAGGGCACGTTTCCTCTTCAATGTAAGGACAATATCCATGAACAGAGAGTCTCCATTTAAAGATACTATAACAGATTAAATTTCTTAAGAGAAATTAGCTCAACCAGTAAAACGAAGAACGTAAATCAAATACTGAGGACACCATTTTAAACCAAACAATCCAGAATTGGCCTTTTGAAGGTGTTCAGAAGTTGTTACAGTATAAACTGCCTTAAATGCAAACAAATGATCATATTATCTTTTTTAGATTCTCTTCAATCCAAAGTTTTCCACTAGCTCTATCTCCACTAGAGCAGTCAGGTTACAAACCGGACCGCACCACCATAAAGCCCAATTTTGCCATGGTTCCTTACATGCCAGGCAATTTCAGGAAAGACTGCATTCCTTTACCGTGTATCACAATAAAAAGCTAGTACCAAAACATCTTTTGACCTGGTATTTGATCCTACACGGGTTACGATTTTAGCAACTGTAGTAAAATCATTGAGCCCCGAATACCATCAAACTCGTATGTGAAGCAACCTCCTAACAACACTGCCACACTCTCTAAAGTCACAAACATTCTAGTTTGGAAGAAGTATCTTCGTTTTCACAATACAGACCCACAAAAGCCACAGCTCTTCTTTCATTTCCAGGTTGCTAAGCACACACTTAAAGCTCAACACTTAAGAATTACTCCCAGTGTATTTTCTAAAAGTTACGGAAATTCTTAGTTCATATGTAAGAGACAGCATCTGCTTCAAAAAAAAATAAAAATATTAACTGGTCCCTCATATTTCATTCATTCCACTACTGTTTGCAGATAGATGGCCAAAAATCTGGTTCCTTTTACAGACTTCTACCTTGGCTCCTTCCCTTCTCCCCATCAGTAACCCAGCAGCTCCTCGCCAGCCCCTAGTTCCTACCACTGCTCACAACCAACACCTCCCGTTCCCTCCCACCCCTGCCCTCTGCCGTTACTCAAACCACTCCCCTCTTCCCGGGATTCCCACGGCCAAGCTGGGCACAGCACCGCTGTGCTCCAGAGCTCACTCACAGCCCATCAGCTGCTGAAAGCAAAGCACAGCAGCCACACGTTGATCTCGCACTAATACACACTTCTTCAGAGTCGCTAACTGGAACTTCTCCTCTGTAACCAGATTAACAGAAACGGACAACCCAAATACGCTTAAAACCACTGCTTCCTCTAGTGAGTTAAACTGAAAGCAGAAAATTGGTTCAAGAGCTATGATGAGTGGGCAGACAAACGCGTACGGAACAGAACTGCATAAGCCTCTCATTCATAAATGAGAGAAGAAATTGGCTCCAAATTGCAAGAAAGCGTAAAACAGATCAACAGAGGTCCTGTGACATGAATGATTCAGACGCGACACGGCTGCCCTCAAATGCGGTAAAACCTCTAGTAATTACTAAAAAACAAAGCACAATAAATCAATAGCTACCAGCTTCTCAAGCTTATTTGGTCAATAGTGTCTGCCCCTGCAATACCAAATGCTTAACAGAAAAATTGTACCTAATTCCCAGGTTTACAGAGACAACAGTGCTCTGAACCCCTAAAAACTGCACAAGTCTAAACTGAGGATTACACAATGAATGATTATACAAACACAATAATCAATCCTGTTTATTGGAACACCATTTGTGTTATTTACCTGCTGCACAGAGCCTACAAAAACAAACTCACTTCAACAGAACACCCTGGTAATACAGGGAAGCACAGGCAGCAGTCTCCAGGACCAGCCCCTCTGACTGCAAGGTCCTTGGGGTGGGGTTGTCTCGAAAGACATTTGCACAGTGCCAGAAATAATCCAGGTGCCGAACCGCAGGCTTTCCATAGAGATACCTGTTAGGTCAGGCTTCATTTAGCTATTCCTTGAGCCACTATAAACCTGCAATACCTCAAACCCCACTGCGGGATTGCCTTGTAGTAAAGGAATTTTCCCCTTCCACACTTTTTACCCATCGGTCTTGAAAGTAACGTTTTTTTCAGTGTAGTGGTAGTAACTGTTCTGTGCTGCCGAGACTCGCTTGCAGACTGTCCTGCCATGGGGTGAGAAACTGTGCTGTAGTTACAGTTACCAGGCAATGAACTGTCCTCCAAATTGCGTGTGGAATTCTTACACCTGAATCTTCTATGTCTCTGACAGCAACGGAACGGGGAATACTTTTCTGATATTAGTTTGTCTAGCGAGCTACAATCTGAAAAGCCAAACTCCATTAATCAAACTTCCTGTACAGAGCACAGAGCATCGAGAAGCACGTTCCCAGCATCCATCTGCGAGCCCGCAAACACAGCCAGCAGTAGAGGAAAAGGAACATGCAGGTTTTCAACAAAGGGGAGCAGGAAGAAAAGCATCATTACAAGTGTAAAAAAAAAAAGATTATTTTTTAGTAATGGACAGCAAAACTGGGAGGTGATTAAGTTCAGAAATCCTTCACCATACATTCTCTAACATGAGAAGAGCTTTACACTTTCTTCTAAATTATCTGGTCACTGAGACATACCCGCTACTGGAACAGAGGCACTGCTGCTCACAGAGCAATTCCTAGCCTTAAAATTCACCCTAGTTCAAACAATGCATCCTTTGTGGGCAGGTGACAAAAGGAGGCCTCAGTATTTTTCAGAAGCATTACCTGTGAATCAAATGTTTATTGGAATAAAAATTTGTCAGATTCTGCAGTACGAGGAAGTAATCAGACTCTTGTAGCCTCCTCCCGCTCTCAAAATTACACCGCAAAGGTAGCAGATCTTCTTAAATTAACACAGTATGACTTGAAGCGCGTAACAGTCACCTTGACCTAAAACCCATCCAGAACATTCGGGTCCCAGTTTCGGCTCCAGAGACAGGCTCCCAGCCGCAGGGCATGTGTGCCCACCGCGCTCCAGCCACCTCTCCCCGCACTGCCAGCTACAACCAGCACCTGCTCCCACGTCCCCGCCTGTACCAGGCGCTCACGAACGAGGACCAGAGAAACTTCTGCGATGGGGAAAGCGCCAGCTCCCAAGAGGAGCACCACCAGACTGAGGGGGCTCAAAACACCCTTCGGGTGCAGGTATCAGGGTGTCGACACAAATACACGTGCTTGAAGAGACCCATTTGCCCCCGCTCTGCACTCCCGTGCTGATGTGGCCGGCTGAGGAGATGGGTTTCAGCCCTGCACCCCTCAGTACTCCTGCAGGAACACTCTAAAGACGAGAAGAAACGGCTTTCTCGGCGTGTGCATCCACGTACCCATCGCCACACCCCGACGCCCTCCGATGAGGGCCGATTT